TTGCTGATAAGTGGACTATCAATAACCTCATTACCAAGTGTATAGCTAAAGAAGAGAAACTCAAGAAGGAAAGAAGTTATCTAGCCCTCCTAACTTATATGTTAAACCCCACTATGGTAAGAACTCTTGGGAAAAAAAACACTCATAATGCTTCTCATAGATATCCTGATAGGAAACCTGGTAATGATCAACACCATAATATAGGAGGTCCCAAGCCTGTTGCTTTTAAGAAATCCTTTTGGTGCTTTTGGTGTAAGGAAAAGAGGCATAAGAAAACTGATTGTCATGCTTTTAAAGCTTGATTAGACAATAAGAATAAATCTGGAGGGGTTCAGGAACTAGCGAAGACCAAACTTGAGAGAAGGCAAACTCAGGGTAGGAATTGATCTCGAAGTTATTGTGGAGCTAGTGGGAGATGTTAGTTTAGTTTTAGGAACTGGATTTGAACTTGTTTTGAAATATACATTTTATGTGCCTTCTTTAGGAGGAATTTGATTCCAGTATCTTGTTTGGATTTCAATTTACCTTTTATGATGGCAAAAATAAATTTGATGTTGAATTCTCAAGTTGTTGGTAATGGTATCTTGTTGGATGATTTATATAAGTTATCTTTGGATTGTGATATGATTTCCTCATCCTTGAATGTTGAAAGCTTTATTGCTAAAAGGTCTAAAACTAGAGAAAAATATTCTTTGTTGTGGCACAAGCGTTTAGGACATATCTCTAAATAAAGCGTTGAAATGTTAATTAGAGATGATATTTTACATTCCTTATATTTCTATGATTTAGGGACTTGTGTGGATTAAGTTATAGGAAAATTTACTAAGACCAATAAGAAAGGTTCAACTAGAAGTTCAGACCTTTTAGAAATTATTCATACAGACATTAGCAGACCCATTTCTCCCACTATTTATGGTAATAAATATTTTATCACTTTTATTGATGATTTTTCCCCATTATGACTATCTCTACTTGATTAAGGAAAAATCAGAAGCACTTGAAAAGTTTAAAATCTTTAAAGTTGAAGTTGAAAAGAAATTAGGAAATGTGATAAAAGTGGTGTGTTTTAACTATGGTGGAGAGTATTATGGTAGATATGATTCTAGCACATAATGAATTGGAATTGCATCAGATGGATGTTAAGACTGCTTTTCTAAATAGTGATCTTAATGAGGAGGTGTACATGCAACAGGCTGAGGGTTTTATGTCATGTGGTAATGAGCATTTGGTCTGTAAATTGAGAAAATTTATTTATGATTTGAAATAGGCTTCTAGACAATGGTACTTGAAATTTTATGATGTGGTGCCTTCATTGGGTTTTGAAGAAAATAAATTTGATCATTGCATCTATCTTAAGGTCAGTGGGAGCAAATTCATCTTTCTCGTGTTGTATGTTGATGATATTTTACTTGCTAGTAATGATCTTGGTCTACTTTATGAGACCAAACTTATGCTAGCCAAGTTCTTCGATATGAAGGATCTTAGTGAAGCATCCTTTGTGTTGGGAATTGAAATACACTGAGATAGATCACATGGTGTGCTTGGTTTATCATAGAGGGCTTATATTGATAGGATTCTGGAGAGGTTCAATATGCAGAACTGTAAGCCAGGGGATGTTCCAATTACTAAAGGAGACAAATTCAGTAAAGATCAATGTCCAAAAAATGAGATTGAGCTGGAAGAAATAAAGAGAAAACCCTTTGACAGTGCATTGGGCAGCCTGATGTATACTCGAGTATGCACTAGATCTGACATTGCTTTTATGTTAGCATCTTGGGACGATACCAGTCTAGTCATGGGAATGATCATTGGATTTCTGTTAAAAAAAGTGATGAGATATTTGCAGAGAACTGAAGAATATATGCTTGTTTTTAGGAGAGTTGACAACTTGGAAATAGTTGGGTATACTGACTCTGATCTTGTTGGGTGTGTTGATGATAGGAAATCTACCTCCAGTTACCTTTTTATGTTGGCTGGAGGTGCGATATCATGGAAGAGTAAAAAGCAAACTCTTGTCGCCTCTTATTCAATGCAGGTAGAGTTTGTTGCTTGTTATGATGATGCTGCTCATGCTGCTTGGTTACGAAATTTAGTGACTAGACTTTATATTGTTGATTCCATTGCAAAGCCACTAAAGCTTTACTGTGATAACAATGCAATTATGTTCTACTCTAAGAATAATAAAACTTCTAGTGGTTCTAAGCATTTAGAATTGAAGTATTTAACAGTCAGAGACCTTGTAAAGAAAAATGACATTGTTGTTGAGTACATTGATACTAATTTTATGCTAGCTGATCCCCTAACTAATGGACTTAGGCCCATTGTGTTCAAAACCCATGTTGAGAGTATGGGCATTGTGAGCTCTTTTGATGTACTTGGTTAGTGGGAGTTTGTTCTTTATGTCATTTTCTTATCATGATGTATTTTATTTTAGACATTTTAAGTGTTGGATTTTCAAGTACTTTTAACTTTAAGCAATTGATATTACAATGAATATTATTATTATTATTTGTCATTGTTTGTTTATAAATCAATTGTTAAAATTGGGACTCAGTGTCATTGGGACCACAATGCATATGGTCGACACTAGTTTGGAGTTCGAGGTATGGTTATAATTTTGAGCTCGACATCTTCGGGACCACTATACCAGTGGTCGATGCCATGATTTTAAGCTTGGCGTTGTTTGGACCACTATGCCGGTGGTCGACGCCATTTTGGATCTGAGGCATTATGGTTTGTAAAACCATGCAATTTCTTTGGCTTTAATGCATTTGAGAGAAATTGTTAAGGACTGACAAAGAAAATTGCAGTTGGTTGTTGGATCATATTAGCATGCTATTTTCTTGCCACACTCCACACTGAAGACTAGTTGACAGAGTCCGTAGTATTTGTAACCACGAAAGGTTTTATGTCAATGAAAGATATAATAATCGTCGTGATTCAATACTATTTGACTTTTGTTGGATGGAGTCATATTCAGATACTGCACCTGGAATCATGCATTTCTTAAAATACGACCGCATTTTAAGGAATTAGTCATTAACCCGAGAGTCGTTTTTAAAATGTATTTTAAAATAAAAATTATACAATTGATTTTTCCCAAGTGGGAGAATGTTAGATTTATCTAACTTTCTATGGGCTACGATCAATTGTTGTTTAGTTTGTAAAAAACAGGTTAATCGTAATTCTGATGGGGTGCATATATAAGTCATGCTATTAGTTAAGTGATCTCTTTTATAACTAAAGGCTGGGTATCGGAAACCTGATTGGTGTGGGTAAAAGTGTGGGCTTTCACCTTGGGTTCATAATGGGTAGGGACTAGGGCTATATATTTATATGGCTAGGTCCCCTATGTAATCATAAGAATCAGAAACATAACTGACAGTTTCACAACTTGCCCCATTGAGAGTTGTGAACGGGAGTGTGAGATATACAGGAAGATCTGGTCATTCATCTTTTCGAGATTCTAAATCATGATTTCAACAAGTAAGTATTGATATTCTAATTTCATATAATTGATTATTGAATATTTCTGCTTACACATTTACTAAAATGCAAAATCTATTGAGTCTTATTTATGAAGATATATGGATGTATCGGACCATAAAAAGGGACGATTCAAATGTTGTTGCTGATATCTTTTGGACACATTCTGATTCAGTGATGTTGTTGGACATGTTTTATTTGGTGTTAATTTTTTATTATACATACAGAACAAACAGGCTCTGGATTCTCCCAAAATGCAACTTTTGATTTATTTGATTATGGGAATTTATTGATTATTGACTGTACATACAAAACAAATACGCATCGGCTACCACTACTTGAGATTGTTGGTGTAGTTGACGTTTTTGGTTGAATGATGATTCCTAATATGGGTTACCTTATTGCTTCTAGATATAATATCATATTGGTCTCATTGTCCAGGAACCTTAACATCACTTTCTTTCTACTAGTGGTATCTCTATCCATGGCATCGAGTAAACATAAGTTTATTACAATTGGTTTTATTAATAACAGTCATTGGGTTATGGTGAAGTTGAAACTTGATTGTCCATTGCCTCCTCTCACTGACCGATGAAGACCAAGTTGTAGTAAAGATGCAAGAGCATGGGAAACAACATATGCGGGACGCATAAGGCTTTGGAAAGAAATAATTATAAATTCAATATAATTTATTTTGTATTGATATTGTATTACATTTTGCATTATATATTTATATTTTTTTGATTAATTGTTGGATTGTCTATCTATTTTGTTAAAAATGTAAAAAAATAAAAATAAAAACCTTAAGTTAATAATAAAAAATAAAAAACCCCACACGTTATCAGAATTTTTTGAAACATCTTGTATAAATGAACCAAATACTAAAAAAGTTTGGTATTTAATCATATAATTTCTAAAAAACAATGAATTTTATTGAAAACTTTAATATTTATTTAAATAAACTCAAAAATATCTAACATTTATTTTTGCATTATCCGACATTTCTTCAAATAAACTAAAAAAAAAACGATATTATGTTTAAAAATTCAATAATTGACAGTACTTTTTAAGACACCAGAATTATTAGACAAGTGTAGAACGATAAAAACATAACTTGTGTGAGGGATATCATATTAAAGTGTGGGAATAACAAATTTTAGTATTCGAGATTTTGGAGAAAGTTTTATATAAAAAATTGCAAGGCTAAATTATGTGAATTTTTGTACCCTTTATCTCATCAACTATCATTCTATCATCACATAACAAAGAATAAAGTACTATAAAAATATAGTTATTTTATTTATACCACATAATAAAGGTTTCAAGCCTCCATAAAAAAAGTTACCGATCCAAATGATAAAACTAATACAAGATATAGTTTCACCCATAAGGAAACTAACCAAACCAAATCAAATCGAAACATAGAATGTCACAAAATATCACAAACACAAACAGACACAAAATATAAGAGATCCATGACAAATTTATTTGTAACAAACAAAAACAACAACACCTTAAGAGTTTTTATGGAACATCTTCATGAGATCAATTTCCTGCTTCAAAGGAACCTCAGGAAAAAACTCCATTGCATATGAGTCATAATCATAACTCATAGCACCAGATCCATTTCCCATTCCATCATCTCCACCATTGACCATCATTGGAACATAAGCTTCAGTTTCACCTCCTGGAGTAGCCAAACCTTGAGAACGGAAACCATTGTTGAAGCTTGGTTGATTCCCAATATTCATCCTGCTAATGGAATTCGCCAACCGCTTCTTTTCAGCTTCCTTTGCGGCTTCCACTTCAATGATGTACTTTTGAAGAGGACTTAGCTTCAAACTTTTACGCTTGTTACGCCTCTTCTTTGCAATTTGGCTGCGCTTAGTGGCGTTCCAATGGTTCTTGATGGTGTTATCAGTGCGCCCGGGCAGTTTCTTTGAAATTTCAGACCACTTGTTCCCAAGTTTCTTGTGAGCTTCAATCAGTATTCTATCCTCCTCTTGACTCCATGAGTCCTTCTGTAATCATATAAAACAATTAGTCGTACATATGAGAGATATTATAATAGAGACATTATACACAAATTAGGTATATTGATGTTACATTTTGTCACCAATAATCTTGAAAAAGTGTGGAAAAAAAAACTAACTTTTTGCGAGACAGACAAAAAAAAAAATTAAGTATCTAAATTTAGTCCAATATTTATTCAAAAAAGTAGAAAAGTAAATTAATAACAAGGTGCCATATAAAGTTTGTTATAAGGACAATGAAATGTTAACGAGACTATCATGTCATATTGAATGAACTTTTAGAACATGTGTCAAAAGATAAATAATTGTTAATTACAAATTCTTTTTTCGTTAAATTGTATTTATGCACTTACTTGAAATGCTTTCCTAATTTTTCGATTGATTTGATGCATTTATATGTACATGTAAAAGTGTAACTTGTTAAAAGAAAACTAGACAAGAATCTATATTTCTTCGAAAAATATATTATTTTATTTATATAATATATATATATATATATATATATATATATATATATATATATATATATATATATATATATATATATATATATATATATATATATATATATATATATATATATATATATATATATATATATATATATATATATATATATATATATATATATATATATATATATATATATATATATATATATATATATATATATATATATATATATATATATATATATTAAAAAAATTAATTATTATATATAGTATTCATCACTATTATCCGTTAATATTAATTTATTAATGATTAAAATAAAAATAAAAATTCTTTTAACATTTAACGGTTATGATTAACTGATAATATAAAATTCTTTTACACTGTCAATATATTTTAATTAAATCCTATATTAAAATGATTGAAAAGAAATACACCTTAATATCGGGTCGAAGATGATTATTCCATCTTTCCCGGCATTGTTTGCCGATCCTGCCATTTAGAAACTTAGCGATACGAGACCATTCTCTAGTTCCAAATTGGTCCACCAATTGAATAAGAATCCTATAGAAATAAATAATAAAAAAAATATTTATTGGTCATCATATGTTAACAATCGATAAAAAATATTAGATACATAAACAAGAGAAGATGAATCAGATTGCAAAATAAAATCAATAAATATATCATCAAAAAATTGCGTAGGAAAGGCAATACAAAATTTTAATGATTGAATAACCTGTCCTCGTTATCACTCCATTGGCCTTTGATTATATTGAGATCTCTCTGTTGAGTTTCAACATTCTTGTGAACTCTCTTATGTCGCTTCTTGTCGCTGGGAACGAGTTCTTGGTCATTGTCGAGGGATTTGTTTCCAATTCGACCAATGAATGGAAGATCTCCTCGAAGATTAGACTTAACTGCGATAGATGGATTTGCATCGTAAACTAGCGATGGTGAAAAAGATGGTCTCACTTGATGTTGAGAAGTTTCACCATGTCGAAAGAGATTTTTCCTTGATAAGTCCCAAATTCCATTGCTAGTGTTAAGGCGGCCATGCATGACTTCCTTTTTTGTGTTATTTGGTGCAAATGTCATTGGATTTTGTCCATCGAAAATATTTTCTTGGAATCCATTGGTTGATGCATTAGTCTCTTTATGAGCCTGTTCCTCAAATTGAGCATAGTGATTTTGATACAGAAAGGTGTTGAAATGTGATGGTGAGGGAGAAAAAGTTGAACTTGGTTGCAATGGAATCACTGTGGAGATCTCTGATTTTACACTAGGATTTTTAAGAAAATCCCTAGAAAGGTAAGAAAATTTTCTTGCAAATCTAGGATCTGATTCCATTTTTTAAGCAGAGAGAAATAAAAAAAAAGGAGGAAAGGGAGATTGTTTTTCTTGTAAGAGAATGATTGTATGTGATTGTATGCAAATGGTTTAAATAGATAGTGTGCAGAAGGGAGTTGAGGTCCAAGAGTTCTTATAGGCTATACTCTTAGTTCTTGAAAAAAAAAGATGAAAACAATAGTGATTTTACAATACATCTGATAATTGATGTAATAACATCCAACGACTCAAATTCATTGTTCAATGACTCTTCAGCTTCGAAGTAAATAACTCAAATGAGAAAAAAATATTTTACAAAACAAAATTATTTAATTTTGGTAATTTTTTATATAAATAAATTTAAATGATGAATTTGTTACAAAATTTTGTATTTTATTTTAAAACATTTTAAACAAATATAACAAGCCCACGAATAACATGTGATACTATTACTATTATTATTATTATAAAACATTTTAAACAAATATAACAAGCCCACGAATAACATGTGATACTATTATTATTATTATTATTATTATTATTATTATTATTATTATTATTATTATTATTATTATTATTATTATTATTATTATTATTATTATTATTATTATTATTATTATTATTATTATTATTATTATTATTATTATTATTATTATTATTATTATTATTATTATTATTGAAAATAACATTTCAATTTTTTTATTACCACATCTTAAGATAAATTACTCTAAAATGTAAATAATGTTTTACATTTATTTATGCGTGTTAAGGCTAAATAGGGGGTCAACATGAGGGAACATTTTTCACTTTGGAGTTTTTCTTAAGAGCAACACAACTTTGTGAGAGACACATCACATACACATCTAAAATCTTAAGGCGATAGGTGTGTGGGTTCTTCCACTTATTAATGCTCAGGTCTTCACATTTATAACCAGTGTGGGACTTTCCCACACTACTCACACTTGTTATTCTCAACACTTCTCCTCAAGTGTGAGTCTATCCACAATGCTCCCTTCAAACGAAACCTTTTTTTATCACATACACTTGTACCACCATTGTCACTCTTCAACATAACACTCTACCCACGATCATGTGGGAATACTTTCGATACAAGTGAGTCAATCCCTTTACTTGAACCATGCTCTGATACCACTATAGGGGCTAATTAGAAGGGTCAATACGAGGGAGCATTTTCACTTTGTAGTTTTTCTTTAAGAGGAACACACCTTTGTGAGAGACACACTACATACTCATCCAAAACCTTAAGGTGATAGATGTGTGGGTTCTCCAACTTATAAATGCTCAAGTCTCCACACTTCTAACTAGTGTGGGACTTCCCCACACTACTCACACTTGTTGTTCTCAACACTCACCCTCAAGTGTGAGTCTATCCACAATGCTCCCCTTCAAACGTAACCTCTTTTTTATCACATACACTTGTACCACCGTGACACTCTTCAACAGGACACTCTACCCACGATCATGTGGGGATACTTTCAATACAAGTGAGTCGGTCCATTTACTTGAGTCTTGCTTTGATACCACTGTATGGGATAATTCTAGGGGTCAACACGAGGGAGCATTTTTATACTTTGGGTATTTTTTCAAGAGCAACACACCTTTGTGAGAGATACACCACATACTCATACAAAACCTTAAGGTGATAGGTGTGTGAGTTCTACTACTTATAAATGCTCAAGTCTCCATATTTTAAACCAATGTGGGATTACTCCACACTCCTTACACTTTTTATTCTCAACACTCCCCTCAAGTGTGATCCTATCCACAATGCTCCCCTCAAACGAGCTCTTTTTTATCACATACATTTATATCGTTGTTAACACTCTTCAATTGGACACTCTATCCACGAACATGTGGGGGTACTTTCGATATAAGTGAGATGGTCATTTCACTTGAACCAGACTCTGATGCCGTTGTTGTACCCCAAAATTTGACCATATTTTCTTTCTATTATCAGCTAACCTATAGTGTAGAACATTGACTTACTAGAATCCCCCATATGGACTCCCCAATGACCTAAAAAGTCAAAGGAGACCATTTTGACTTTTTCCTCTTCAAAGGTTCATTTTAGATTTTAGTATATAATAACATATTTTTATAGTTTTATTTAATAATTTTATTTTAGATTTTAGTATATAATAACATATTTTTATAGTTTTATTTAATAATTTTAGGAAAAAATATTCATATATAGCTTTATAGATAGAATAAACTTATAAGAAATATATATTTTAAAAACTAATATATCATTCATTGTTATGAATTATTTAGCATTATTTTCTATTTTTACTAACTAAGTTTTGTTTAATAAATTTTCTATCATTATTAAGTGGCTATAGCTAAAAAGCTTAATCAAATATACACCTTGTTATTTTTTTTGGCCATATTATGATTATTATTGATAAGGTTGGATCATTTATAAAAACAATATTATTATTAGTTAATAGTTAAATAGTAATATAGTTCTTTTTATTAATCATGGTTATTTTATTAATTAAATTATATCCTTAATTTTTATAATTCAATTTATTAGAAAAAATATTTTATATTTATACTATTTTGCTATTTGGGTATGTATTATTATTCGGGTCATTATTTTTCTAATATTTAGTAGTTAGAGTTTGATTGATGTTTTTAATATAGGGGTATAAATTTTATTAGTTTTTAATTAGCCAAATGACTATTAATAGTATTATTTTTGGTTATTACTAGTATTTGTTGCGTTAATTAGAGATTAATTATTTATGAAGTACTTAAAATAATTAGTTTTTGTAGGATATTTAGATTATTATTGTTTTAAGTATTGTTTAGAAATCAATAGGTTATTAGTCAGTTTTAATTTACTAGATTATGATTATTTCCAAATTAGTGAATATGTGACCAGATTAATCAACTCAGGTCCAAGCCTAAAATTCTAATATGCATGTAAACGGAATCAAAGAGGATGAAACATTAGGAAACTTGAATCAAAAATTGTTTTTTCATTATTACATCAGATATGGTTTACATATAGAATCAGATCAACAAATCTTAAATCTATTTCCAATCAAATCTCAACCTAATTAAAATTACAATCAAATCTTCAATCAATTTAAAATCAAATTAAAATCAAGTAGAGGGAAAATTTCAGAATATAGATCAATAAAAAACCAAGACCTAATGTTAGCCTATAAATACAGAGAGATTTCAGATGAAGAAAGACGGGAAAAAAAAACCTTAAGAAAAAGCTGCAACTTCGATCTCTCACCAAAGCTTAAATCAAACTGAAATTTGAGTTTCACATTTAAACTCTAATTCTTTTGAGCTTAGCCTCCACCCAACAGCACCTCACATCAGACAAAGAAAAGAAAAAGGAAGTTAAAGAAGGAAGAAGAGACAAGTAGATCAACGAGAAATAGAAGAGAATCGAAATTTACCTTTGACAGGAATAAACCTCCTTTTGTAGGTTGGTCCCCCCTTGTGTAATCGCTTTATTATACTTGATTGCCTGTTATTGATTAATTGCATTGTTTAGGGGTTTATTGGGGGATAAACTTAAAGGGGTAGGTTTAAGGTTAAGAACTTTTGGTTTGATTTTGGACTTTAGGGGTTTAATTGAAGTTTAGGGAAGGCCGATCGATAGGTAGGTTTAGGGTTAAGAATTTTTTGTTTGATTTTGGACTTTGGGGGTTTGATTGAAGTTTAGGGAAGGTCGATCTATCGATCAACCAGGGTTGGAGGTTCATATGGGGGTTTAAGGTGGGTCCTGGGCAGGTTTAAGGTGGGTCCTGAGCAGGTTTAGGGTTTGGAGATTGTCGCAACTGCGAAAAGGGCCGACGGAAACAAATAGAAGAGTCGCCACCGAACGTTATTTATCCCAAAGAGAGGGAAAGGAAACGATCGAAGAAAACCTAAGAGAACGGGAAAATACAAGGTCATCGCAACCAAATTTTGGATTCGGGAGTCGGTTACGCAAGGGGAAGGTATGAGCACCCCTCACGTCCGTTGTACTCAACGGGATCCACGCTTGTTGTGTAATCTATGGGTGAAAGTTATCTAAAAGCTACTGCTAAACGGGGGTGAACGGAAAGAACATACTCAATAGGACATCGCCGCCATATGCCTACGTATTCCCTCGCAATTCGAAAAAACGTAGTTCGAAAAAACGTAGTTCGAAAAACTACGGGTGATGGGGGAAGGTTGTTTGCCAAGACATCGTTGTCTTGTGCCTACGTATCCTCATCTGGATTGAGAAATCAGAGCAAACGTAGTTCGGGTAACTACGGATGAAAGGTTGGTTAAATATTTTTTATGAGCGGCGTTAAGTCTCCATTCCAGCAGTTAGGGACGATGCTTGTTTGCGGTAGAACGGAAAAGTAACGTGCACTTTTATGAAAATGAGGTTTGAAATGATCCCAAAGGATGAAAAGGTTTGAGTTTTGTTTATGAATTTTAAAAGAAGTGAATTGAATTGATTTGAGACTCATGTTGCACTAAAGTCTACTACACAAGAGCGAATGCGTCGCATATCGCCCAAAGGGCATATGCTAAACACTCTAGAAAAGTGAAGAGAGACCTCTCCACTTATCATTTCTCATGTACTTAAGGCTCGTAGCGTACAACACTTGTCATTCTTTATTAAGTGTCTTAGAGGAGTTTGAGATGAGAAGAGAAGACACAAGGACACTAAAGAGAGCTGAGAATCCGAATGTTGTCATGCAAAGTGGTCCTAAAGTTGGGATAAAAAGGGAAATCTACCTAATGTTATCATGAAAAGGATTGAAAGCCTAATTTCTCTCCTACTCCCATCTTAAACAGAGGGACTAGAAATCCTAAGGGATCATGTGGGCAAACACAAGTAAACACATCACTAATCAATCACAAATGAGGACAGAAAGTAAGAGTTAAACCAGTCAAGAAAAATGAAAAGGGATGAGAGGAACAAACACGCAAACAATCATTGAATGAGGCACGCATTAATTACACACACATGTCACACCCAAATCAACAAAATGTAAATT